TAGGAAGTCTAAATGCACACAGACCAGTGGTCTGTCAAATGTAACCATTGGTGTATCTCACACCAATGTGAAACCCATTGTCGTAATCAAGTGGCTACATGTAGCCACTTGCGTGTAACCCCGTTACACTTTCAAAATTGCCCGTGTGAGCTCTTCTTTCGTCTGAAACTGCCTCCCACCATCGTGAACCAGCCTAGTAAGCTTCCCCCATACGTTCTCGATTGGGTTTAAGTCCGGGGTTAGCGCAGGCCACGGTAGAACAGCAAAAGCTTGGTCGTCAAGCCACGTCTTCGTATGGTTCGATGTATGGATGGAACAGTTATCTTGCTGGGAGAAGCATGCTCGTGGATGATTCTGGGCTGTAAATGGTAGTAGATGCGATTCCAATGTCTGTACGTATTTGACGCTGGTTTGCTTGCCAGTAAGTACGGCTAACTTTGCTTTTCCACGCGATGAAAATGCCCCCCCCCCCCATACCATCACAGAACCACCTCCAGAGTGACGCTTCGAATAGACTTGTTCTTCCGTCCGTAGGTCATGCCAGTAATACTGAAACCCGTCAGGTCCATCCAGATTAAACTTCTTTTCATCACTAAACACGACACATTTCCATGTTTCCGTCCATCTTGCTCGCGGCATCGCCCACTCCACCAGAGCAATTTTGTGTGCTTTTGAAAGCAGCGGCTGGCGCTGCCGCTTCTTTTGTTTCAGTGTAGAGGTAGCGTGAAGAATCCCCCTAACCCGCCTTGGCTTTATGGGCAAGTCAAGCTTCTTTTGCAGCTGTGTGGAGCTGTATTTACCCGTGTGGGCGGCTCGCAGTAGACGACGTGAAGCTTGAGGTGTCAGTTTAGGAGGCCTTCCTGAGCGTCGTATCGAATTGCATTCCACAGGGTTGCGTAAGAATTGGTACATGCCAGCTTTAGAACGGTTTAAGCGCTTAGCGATGTCTTGGAGGCTCCATCCATTGTCCCGAAGATCATTTGGCCCTGCTCGTGGTCCGAGAATGTATTGCCCCGTGGCATGGCCACACATGCTCCTAGAACTTGCCAATGCCTTGCCTAACTCCACTATGTCTATACATAACACAGAAATAAAACAAACGTCAAACCCACGCTCTAGAGCCTTACAAAACGCATTATACGCCGTTGTCTGTATATTTTTTCCGGGCTGGTTTGGCGTTATTTTCTGTAGCTTGGCGAGTACGGCTCCGATTGAAGAATGGCGACCACCATTCGATTCCAAATGCTAAGCAGCGTTGATTATTTTCAGTCCAACCCGAACTTTCTATTCGACGAAAAGCAAAAAAAATGTACCGTTTGTATAATTATTGCCCGCACTGTATACGGCTGCCAGCGAAAATAATAAAAACACTGTGTGAACTGTTTGATACTCCTCCGTCAACGATGTCATAGGTAATTTTGAAAGCTAAAACAGCGTTGGAGAAGACTTTGAGGGATTTACCAGCAGCACAAATCCGATGGCCTAGTTTTACTCAACAGAAGAATGGACCACTAAGGTGGCCTGTAAAGAACCGCTTGTAAAAGGATGTTTCTGCGTAGCGGACGGCAAGAACTTTCCGGTACAGTCTCCAACCGCAAGCGACAACCAAAATGCATTTTACAATGGTAAAGTTACAGGTCGATTTTGTATTAGTTGAAAATTA